CACTAGAATTTAAAAAGAAAATAATTAAGCTCTCAAGGTATACATTTCTATAACTTGTGTAATATAAGTACTGTATAGCAGTTACTGTTTGGTTCTAAAAATATATATAATTATTTTGTGCCACAGTTCCATAGTCAGCAGATATTTTCCTTCTAAAATTAAGGAAGCCACAAGCATTTCCCACAAAATATACAATAGCTGAAATGACAACATACCAGAGAAAGCTAATTGATGTCAGTGACCATATAAAGTTTAAAATATAGAATAATGTGCCCATTATATGTTGAAACGACTGGCATAGTGAATTATGAGCTAGACAGGAACATAATATGCTGCCATCTGAAACACTTTGGTTTGAAGTCAGTCTGGATTTTAAGCTGTTTGCATTCCAGAGGCTTTGATTCCAGAGAAGAGCCACAGAGTATGTGCTGTTCCAGCATCCTGTCCTTTGGGAAATTAATATCTGCTCTTCCAGTTTCTCTAGCTTGATGTCAACCTGTTTAGTGGCCACTTACCATGATGGTATAACTTGGAGTTTGGCTTGGTATGGATGTTCCTAAAATAGAAAGAAGTGGAGGGGAATTCTTTAACAAACAAACAAAAAACTCTACTGCTGACCATTTAAAACTAGCCTGGATTATTCTCCCAAAGACAAGCTGTTATAGCTTATTGGTTAGACAATGGTCTCTTAGAACAACCTGGAACCCATAATAATCAAGGGGTGTTTTTTCAAAAGCAAATACTTCAGCTATTACAGTTTGTGTGAAGTTATGTTGTTATGCCATTTTCTTCTCTTTTCAGAGTAGAGAAGATAACTGAAAACACACCACCTCGAGAAGTGAATAACATTTCGAACCACAGGGTGTTAATTAAACCAGAGGCACAGAATAATCAAAAAAACAAAGAAGTAAGCAAAAATGAAGAGAAGGCGGCTTTGGAAGCTGAAAAATATGGATTTCAGAAAATTGGACAAGATAAACCCTTAACTAAAATTAATAGTGTAAAGCTAAATTCAGAATACAGAACCTTACCAGTGAGCGCACTTCAGGCTGGACTCTACAGGCCAGTTCATTTAAATGGGTCTGAGAATAAAGCTGTCAATATTGTGGCGGACACTGGAGATGGAGGACAGCACAATGCAGTTCACTCACATATGGAGTCTGAACGAGTCATACAGAGAACTAATTCAATGCTTCAGTTGGAGCAGTGGATTAGAATTCAGAGAGGAAAGGGGCAAGATGAGGAAACAAGAGGGTAAGCAATTTGATTATTCTTTTAATTTAGATTTTCTGTGACAATATCTTGGTCAGATTCTTTTTCAGGTGTGTAATTAACTTAATATTACATTCCTGTAAAGTCCAGTTTTTGGCTTAAAGAGGTTGTCTTGCATTATTGTGCATGCTGGTTATCTAGATACACAATCTAAGTAGATAGTAAGAGACGCTCTCAAACAGTCACTTAGCCTCGGTAAAAGTTGTTTTATTTAAATGGGCGCTGCCAGCTAGTTTTTAGGCACAAAATTTAGGTTGGGGAAGAATACATGAAACCAGGTAAGAGATGTGGGAGGGTGTTTGTGTGTTTGTGTGTATGTGTGTATGTTTGTTTGTTTGTTTGTTTTTAAATTTGGTGTTGCTGGTGACTTTAACATTCCTTGGTAGTATTGTGTGCTTAAATATTTATTAATGCATGAAAACAAATTGAAAGCATTTGGAAACAATCACATAGATCAACTTTTTTGTTCAAATTGAATGAAATCCAAAGAGTAAACAGCCCCCATAAATGATGAAGAGTAAATTAGTTATTAAAACAAAATGTTTGCTAAATTCAATCTTTGACTTCAAGGAAATAAGACAGATGTAAACTCAAAAAATATGCATATTAAACACAAACAAACATATTGCATATTCCTGTTAAAACATTGGCATGGGGTTTGTGTGCTTCTTTAAGAAGGAAATGTGCGGATAAGTAGATTCTTGTCAATTTAGGTGATAATCGTGAAATGCACGGTTTGTTAGAAATGTGATTTGCTTTCTCCTCTGCCCCTTCCTTTCCTTCTCTCTTGTCCACTCCCCTCTCCGATTGGTGGGGGCTCTGACATCAGAGGGAAATCATCCCTCTTTCTCCCCTGTCTTGTCTCTGTGTTCTTCCCTCAGTTACCATCATGCTAGGATCAGTTAATTGGTGAGTAGTGGATTTGAACAAAGGTGGTAGGTAATGTATGTGGTTAAATGAGAGAGGAAGCACTGAGAAAGATGCATACACCATATGAGGAATATTGAAAGTAGCATTAAATATCTGAGTTGCATATGAAAGCTGGTCAAAAACCCCTCTGAATGAACTTCGCCTCTATTACAGTGAAAACTTCAGATGTAATACACTTGGGGGAATTCTGTGCCAAAAAAATGAAAAATTCTGTACCCGGTATTTTAAAATTCTGCATATTTTGTCAAAATAACACTCTCTAATCACGCCCATTTCAATTATTTTGGTAATTTATTTCAAAATACCGATCAGCAACTACGTCTGTAACAGTACAAACACAAAAAAATTCCTCCAGGAGTAGAGAGTTAAGGAAATACTTACAACAACCCAGTTCCTGTTTGTCCCCTCACCCCTGAGCCCAGTAGGGTTACAGACACCCACACCCCCTCCCTCCCAGAGCGCAGCTGTGAGCCCCCCTGCCCAGACACTCGCACTTCCTCCCTTCCAGAGAAACAGCCTCATGTTGGTCCCAGGCTTGTGTGGAGCTTCCTGCACGCTGCCTCCTTCCTTCAGGGCATGCTGAGAAGCCTCCCCCCCCCCCCCCCCCCCCGTAGTGTCTTCTACTTATGAGCTGTGCTCTGCCGGGTCCAGTGGCCTCTAGTGGCAGCGCTGCAGCACATTTCTGTGGAGGAAAAGGAAATTCTGTGCAAAAAACTAATTTCTGTGCAAATTCTGCATGCACACAGGTGCAGAATTCCCCCAGGAGTAATGTAGTTAAGGATTTCCCATTCCAGCACAGAGAGTGGTGATTCTTTAAAACACTTGCTTTTAAGCACTTCATGAGGGAAAGTCCCTGTTCGTGAAATTGCCTGAGGACTGTTTTTATTAATAGATTTTGCTATCAAAATGCTTTTATTTAAAACTCTTACTATAGAAAAATTCTATGCTATTTTAAAAAAAATTAAGTTAAAAAGATAGAAAAGTATATCCTAAATTTTATCATTTGGAGTTTGTCATGCAAATTCATCTAAATTCATGTTAATCACTTTCTTTTCTACATATAACCATGCTTATGGCATAGCACCTCCAAAGTCTAACGATGCATTCCAGTGATTAATCGGAAAACTTTAAAGTTCCTCTATGAATCATTGACATTATTAAATCTTGCTGTGTTGTAAGCAATTGTTCTGCATCACAGAAGCATAGGGATGTCTCTTCCAGGATGTCTAACAGGCAACTGCATTGTATGGCACACTAAACATGAGTTTGTAATATTTATTTCTCAAACCTCTTAAAATTTTTTGCTTTCAATTAAACTTTTATGGGAATGTCACTGCAGGAGGAATTTGGAGAGTGCGAAATTATGCCCTTCACATTGTAGGGAGGAGGTAGGTTGACCTGAATAATCTTCTTTGCTGGAATGTTCTTAAGATCTGTTTCTTGCAAAGCTGTGTAAGTTTACCTTACTCTGACTCAATTGCTAAAGCTCTATAACAGACCCATCATTAAATATAACTGGTATCTGAGGGTCATATAGTATTCCTGATATATTTGTGTTGCCAGTTGATCAATTTTTAATTTTAATTTGTACTACATGGAGTGACTATTAAACCTTGACATTTATCACATTATGTATGCTTGGGCAATGAGAACTTAACACAGTTTTGTGATGTAATTAGATTTTTAAATTTAGAATTAAAAAATTGTGTAACTTGCATCCAGACAGTGATAGTTGAATAGATGTTGTTTTTCAATTATGAACAAGGATAAAACCTCCAAGTCTTTTCAATTTGGATTTCTCTTATCATTGCTCCAGTATTATGTTGGCTGTATTCCAAAACACACTGATTCCATTGTGGGAGATGTATAGTGGAAAACATTAACTGGCAGAACAGAATCTCCTTGAGTATAGAGATCATTTCTTATTTAAATATGGATGAAATTGGTAGCACAAACAATATACTTAAAAATGAAGCTTGATGTAAAGCTGATCAGCAAAGTGGAATTAAAATTGGGCTTGTGCCCTACTTTGCCTTTTTGGGATACATAAAGGTAGCTTGAAGTTTTTGTTGTTGCTGCTGCTGTTTTAAGAAAAGGGTTTATAATGCTGCTTTTTTACACTAGAAATTCAGGTTTTGTCTAGACTAGAAAATTCTGATTTGGACAACTAGTGAAAAGGTAACATCACAAGAGAATGAAAGTTGAGCTATTGAGAGGGGAAGGACGTTTTAATGATAAAACTGTTCTTTGTTTTTCGGTAAGGTTGGGTTTTGTTGTCTTTTAATAAGACGTATTTAACTTACATGACTAAATTTTGGAGAAGGGCAGCCTTTGTTTAAAGACTCAGCATCCTCAACCCTTTTTACTAAGGTTCTTTCAATAAAGCATCCATGAGACCTCCCAGAGTTTTCCAGCTAAAGCAGGGAAGACAAAACTTGATATTACTGTACTAACATTTCTAAAGTTAAAAAAAAGTCTCAAGGCTTTATATATATATATCAGAACCAAAGGCACAAGCCCAATTTATTTAAAACAAAAAAACAAAAAACAACCCCTTACAGACCACCTCTATAAACTGCCTTACAGATAAAATTTAGAATTTCAGGGCTTTGGGGTGTTTGTAACATTTGTTAGTTTCGTTAGTAGGTAAGAGTTGCTTATTATAACAATAAGCATCTGAAGAATTACTTTTTAGGAATACTTTTAAAGAGTAGGGTGACCAGATGTCCTGATTTTATAGGGACAGTCCCGATTTTTGGGTCTTTTTCTTATATAGGCTCCTATTGCCCCCCACCCCATCCTGATTTTTCATACTTGCTGTCTGGTCACTCTATTAAAGAAAAGTGCATACTCCACCATTAGAGTTCTAAATAGCCCAAAGCACTTCAAGGGCAGAAATAATAGCATGACTATTAATCCCTGAAATTGTTTTCTCCCCCTCGCCCTAACCGTCTCTCCCCACTTTCCCCTCTTTCCCACTCCCTCCCCCCTCTCCCCCCCCGGCTGTCCTTTCTGCATTCAAACTTGGTTCAAACTAAAATCAGTAGATTGGGAGAGATCAGTAATTTTTCCATAGGACAGTTTGTGCAAGCCAGTGGATGTCCCATAAAATAGCTCGTGTACATTTTTTTTTTTTTGTAAAAACACAAATTTCTCCAAAGAATATATTATAATGGACGTCTAGGCATTAAGGAATAAGTTGGAAGGTGGTCTTGGGTACTGCATCTGATCTTGATCCCCCTGCTGTTTTTGTTTTTCTCACTTGCTGTGTGAGAGATGTACACAGAGGGGGGGAGAATGTGACTATTCAAGACAATCAGGAAGACTTTTGAATAGTAAAAGTTTTGTCAAATAATCGTCTGAAAACTGAAGGTGTCCAGTCTTCTGTTACATTAACTGTAGGTGTTAAAAGTAACAGTAGTAGGTAAACATTTTCAACAGAAGTGTGATTCAGCTAACTGTTCTTACAGGTGTGAGAAATGTGTGTGCCAAATATCTGCATATTTGCAGTCTTTGTTACAGAGTACACTGAGCATATTCTTAACCAGAAGATTGGTCCCATACATAGTTTTGGATTCCTCTACCCTATATTTTGAAGAGATGACTTAACTCTCCTCCATTTGCCATTTTCCTCTATACTCTCATACGAGGCAGTCTAAGGAAACCATTAATTGTACTCTTTATGATGGAGGGGCATTTTTAGCCTTGAGCTTGTAAGGTGCTTCTCTCTGTGCCTATAGGACTGAGAGATCTCTGCATGTCACAGGATTGAGCACATAGAAAGCATATCAGCAAGCTCTCTCCCCCTTTAGAGTAAGTAAGTTAACTTCCAGATTGGAACAAATCTTAGAGCCCAGCAATAATCACATGCAATGGGGACATTCCCAAAGTTTTAAAGAGGTTTTTTAATCTTGCAGAAGTTTTTCTTTAAGTTGAAGATTTTGTGGGTTATTTATAAAGCCAGCCATAGAACTGTTACTGCAGCTCAGCAGCTTACATGATGGATTACTGTCCCGCTGCTGCACATGAGGTATCTTGCTTTTAGTAGAGGTTTTGTGTGTGATTTAGGATTTGGTTAGGTCAGTCTTGCTGGTACCCTCAAAGCACTGACAACCCAGCTTTGGGTTTAATCACTAGATTGAAAGCCAGGGCATCATTTAAGGTTTTTTTTTTCTAGTGCTAGTTATTAATAGTAAGAGGTGTTGGATGTTTTAAATCTTAAGTTCCACAACTTAAGAACAAATAGTGAGTGTAGGCATTTTTAAATTACAATTTTTCATACATTAAAAATGCAAAGAATTTTTCCCCCAAATTAGATTGGATTTTCAAAGAAGTTTAAAGGAGACAAATGCCCAACTCCCACTGAATGAAATTTGAAATTCAATGGGAAATGAACATCTAGCTCCCTGGGATTCCTTTGGAAAATCTTAACTTTTAAAATCATAAACATTACATATAGCTAAAAATTAATTTGACAAATCCACTGGAAAGTCTAGGAAAGGGGAATTTGGATGTGTTGTATTGAAATACAAGGGAAAAAATCTTTGAGTGCTTGCTCACATCCATTGCATGGTAGGTGTGCGCACGCCACGTGCAGAGATGCGGGAGATTTTTTTTCCCTTAGTGGCATCCGTAGTAATTGGCCCTACCACCTTCTGGAGCCCCGCGCACACGTGCTGATATAAGGGGCGCTGCCGACTCCGCACCCTCTCAATTCCTTCTTACCACCCGTGACGGTTACTTGGAACCACCTCCTTGCTCTCTTGCAAGGCTTTCCCAATGGTTTGGACTCTGTAGTCTATTGTATATAGTTTTTGCAATTAGTGTATTTAGTAATCAATCAGTACTAGTGTATAGAGTGTAAATAGTGGTCCCAGTCATCAAGGGACATCGTCCCAAGGACTAGGGATGCCCCCATCCCCAGGTTTCAAGCCATGTACCTCCTGCGGCAAGCCCAGACCAGTGAGCAACTTGCATTTGAGCAGTTTTAAGTCCCTCAGGGAAGCTCATGTTAAGAAAAATCTCTGGCAGCTGTGCACGTGGCATGTGCACACCTAGCATGGAATGGGCATGAGCAATACATCTCCAAGAACAACAGTTATGAAAGGTTGGTAACTGTTTTTTATTGTCTTTTTCATAATTACGGCAGTGCAAATGCACAGAGTTGGGTGAACGGAAACAGGATGGTCTTGAGAAGACTTGTGTGGAAAAACTAACATTTTTATATATGATGTTTATATATGATTAATTTTCCTATCTACAAAATGCCTTACAGATAATACTTCTGGGAGGTTGTGTGGATTGATTCATTGGTATATGTAAAGCACTTTAAAGCAGTTTCCATCTGTGGTTCTTGCAAAGCATTATAGGTAATAGTAAATGTTCAAAAATGAATTATTTAGCTTAAGATTTTTATTTTGCATGACTGAAAGATAGTTGCTACAAACAATTTTTTTAATACTTATTTTGTAAAGCGCTAATTACACTTAGGTCTTAACTCTATTTTTAATGTGCCCTGTGCCGTAACCCACTAATTTTCAGTTCCAGGACTACAGTTAGTGATGATTCAAACAGTTAAATAGCTCTGGTAATGAGATGTTTAGTGCCTTTCACCTCTATGCTGTCAGTTTGAATTTAGCCTACTTTACATGTGACTGGAATCTACCAGCTCATGCCTGTTCCATGTCCTGTGTGAAATGAGTTAGGTGTTGTTCTCCTTCTCGCTAGAAAAGTGTCAACATCCAAAAATCGCCATTACAAATAGCATTAAATGGAAAACATCATGACAGGTCAGACTCTTTGGTCCAAGACTAATGTCTCACTTCCCTCCAGTCACAGTTGAGGCATATTGATGGTTCATTAGGGAAAACTTTGCATTGCCACCTGATCTGTCACTGAAGGACTTCAGTTTTCAGAACTGTTAATCTGGTATCCAATTAAAGAAGAGTTTTAAATTCACACACAAATTAAAAAGTAAAAAATAGCATTAAAATTATTGTCTTGTAATACAAAGAAATAATTTGCTGTTTGTTCTGCTTGGGCTGATTTACGTGAATGGTTTATCTAAAATTGCAGAATATAATTGCATTAGATAATTATTACCATTTTTTCTGCCTTAGTCTAGCCATAATTAATAAATGGTTTTGATATCATTTTGCAATTATCCGCTTTTATAGACAAATAGTCAGCTTTTGCCTGTTCATGAATTTGTATTGGAACAAACAATATAAGACTTGATTTTAAATTTTAAAAGCTTGACACTAAACTATTCACCTTGCAGGTTTGAGCTGAAATAAAAACAAAATAAAAGATCATAGGGCTATGTATCCCAAGTATCTGAAACATCTATAGGAGTTGTAGGTGCACCTCTCAGGAACTGACCCAGAAATGGGTACTAAGTAAACTGATGTGAAGATTGGATTGGTATGAAATATTGGGTTGAATAATTAATCCAGTCAGTAAAAAGATCCAGTTGCATCATAGCATCATTTGGCATACTTGATTTTTTCAGTAGCCTTTACTGTTTCCTTCATATGATGGAGAGCATAGATCTTTTAAAATGTGATGCCCGTAGATCAGAACAGATTATAAAGTATTATATCTAACAAGCCTGGAAAAGAAATTAGATAACTTTGTATTCCCATAATAGCCGTATTCTTGACTATTAATGGAAAACTCTTGTTTCAGCATAATTTCATATCAGACGCTACCAAGAAATATGCCAAGCCACCGACCCCAAGTTGCACCCCGTTACCCAGAAGGCTATAGAACCCTGCCAAGGAACAGCAAAACGAGGCCAGAGAGTGTTTGTAGTGTGACACCATCAGTTTATGACAGGACCATAGGACCAGTAACAGCTGAAGAAAAACGGAGATCCATGCGGGATGACACAATGTGGCAACTCTATGAATGGCAACAACGTCAATTTTACAATAAGCAAACAACTCTTACTAGACATAGTACTTTAAGTAGTCCAAAAACCATGATCAATATTTCTGATCAGGTGATGCATTCCATTCCCACATCACCTTCCCATGGTTCCATAGCTGGTTACCAAGGATATTCCCCTCAAAGGACATACAGATCAGAAGTGTCATCACCAGTGCAAAGAACAGATGTAACAATTGACCGCAGACATAGGACGCATCATGCTAAGGTGAATACTTTCCTTATACATAGTTAATAGACCAACTTATTTCCAGTTTTCTTCTTTAAATAGAATGGTTCCAGGTAACAGAACACTGACTTTCCATGTTACTTTGGAAAGTTCTGCTATTGTAGGCATAGTTACATGCCACTGTTTTTATGAAAAAATAATTACTATATTAAATGTTTGTTTCAAAGAAAAAAATGACTTTATAAAGTCAGGTGTAGCCTGTGTAAGTGATGGGAGAAGTTATTTTCTTTTAGAGGATGGAGAAGTGTTCTCTTAATGGTACTAAATTTAACCTTGTATAGCATACTCTACATTGCTGTGAGAGACAGAAAGCAAGTTGGTGTTCCCATTAGTCTCCAGAGTATCTTAAGGGAATGCAAACAGGTTTCTGAAGAAAAAGGGCATTTAGAATTTCTGGGATTGTAATCAAGGTCCAATATGATTTTTGGAAATGATAGTAATCTTTCTCAGCTTCTCTTCAGAGCACTCAAGGTCCTTGCCTATTTATTTTTCTCACCTTCAGCTACAAGTCAGACTAACTTTCTAGTTACTGTTTAATTATCCAGTGAGATCACTGAGGAACAGCAGAACCACATGCATATGACCTCAGTGACCCTCCATAAGTCTGTTAGCCCTTGCCAGCTTGGGTCAGAGGGAATAAGCTAGAATCATAAACCTAGATCCCCAACATGCTTTTGGTAGACTCATTAAATTATGCTATGCACATTGTTTCTGCAGTTGAGAGCTCCTTTTAAAAAATCATGCTGTTGTAAGTAGGATGTAAAACTAACAATTTTCCTGCCCTACACTACGTAAGGTGCTCAAGGATTTCATTGAAGCTGTTCCTTGAACTCTGACCCAGGATTCTTTATGAAATGTTGTGGCTTCCTGCAATATTGAAGCATGGAAAAGCTTTAAAAAAAACTTTAAAGATCCTTAAATTACTTTGTGTGTTTTCCCCTTTGGGGTTGAAATACCTCCAACCAACAAAAGAGCAGTTTCTTTCTGTTTTGAAGTCCATTGCCCATTACTGCTTTGGAAATTTAACTCAACATTTTTTTGCAGCCCTAAAAAGAGCATCATAGTCAAGTGCGCACAGGACATATACTATATCTTATATAACGGTGTCTAAACTGAGTTTTCAGTTTACTTGTATAATACATTTTACTAGTATTATATATTCAATTCTTTTTAGCCAAGTTAATCTAGAAAGTGCCATTCATTGTCATCTACTGATTTTAGGTTTTCAGGTTATTTATTTTGTACTTTTTAACATTAAGCTAAGTTTATTCATAAAACCTTGAACACATTGCTAATTCCTTTATTTAAAATGTACAAGTTAGGGGACTGAATGGTTTAGGATTGATAGTGCTGAAATACTAGATTGAATCCATGTCAGCCTGATAGAGATCAAAAGCTATTTGAACAAAAGCCTTGAAATATTTCATGACCTAGATCAAATATTCAGTGATCTGTCTAGTTCTCAACAAAAATTGTTTCATTAAAAAATACCACAACGCTTGGTCCCAATTTATTCTTGCTGGAACTCTAAGTGGAAGGGCCATGAACTGAAAGAGCCATGAAGACTGAAGTACTTTCTCAAGTTTAGAAGTGGTCCTTCCAGGGCACGGATTCAGGCACGCCAGAGGATTTGAGTTGCTTTTGAATATATTTTGTAGACCAACAGAGGACTTCGTTATCTAATGCTGTCATTCTGGGTATGTCTATACTGCAGTTAGACACCTGCAGCTGGCCCATGCCAGCTGATTCGGGTCTCATGTTGTGGGGCTGTTTCATTGCAGCATAGACTTCTGGGCTTGGGCTGAAGCCCAGGCTCTAAGACCCTGTGAGATGTGGGAGAGTCCCTGAGCTTGGGCTGCAGCCTGAGCCCAAATGTTTGCACTGCAGTGAAACAGCCCCACACCCGGAGCCCTGCAAGCCCAAGTCAGCTGGCACGGGCCAGCCATGGGTTTTTATTTGCGGTGTAGACATACCTCTGGCACGTTTCATAAGAATGAAATTGACTTGTAAAATTATATTAAATTCCTATTTAACCCTCAATGCAAAAAACTTTGCCAGAAAACCATGGATTATAATATGCAGTCTTGTTTTTCCATAGCACGTCTTCATGCCTGAAAGAAGGTCGATGCCAGCAGGTCTGACTTTACAGCCTGTTACTCCTCAGAGCCTCCAAGGCAAAACGGTGAGTGGCACTTTTATTTAGTACATCGGTTTTTTTATTTAAGAACAATCCATAAAATAAAATATGCAACACTGCAACGTTTCTATTTGTAGAGCTTGTATTAAATGCAGTCTTCAATTACCAAAGATTTCCAAACCAAACAAGTTGATTTTGTTTGGTAACATTGAGGATTTGCAAGAATAGAAGTTTTAGTTAAAATTTTCTGCCAACAAATACAATTCTCTTTCTGGAAATAACTTTCATTTACACATTGAGTATCTTATTTTGGAAACATATAGGACAGCATCAAGTTTTCTATTTTAGGATTTTTCCAACATGCATTTGACAAAAAAGTTGCCTCTTCTGAATTTTTAAGAATAGTACAGTAAAATAATGTGCTCTTATTCACCTGTATAGAGCATTTGTCTTTGTAACAGAATTAAGACTTCTCTTTCATTAGATATTTTCCATTAATGGTGATGTGTCAATGTAGTATTGCCAACTCCAAGAGCCTAAAACTCAAGATTTTTAAAGTATGTTTGAACTCCCCTTCCCTATCCCCAAAGCTTGAAAATTACAGGTTGAAATTTGTACCTTAAATCCATATGTAATGTCCCCATGTACAGTGCAGGCCCCATTCCCTGTTTGCACTTGCTCTCTGACTCCATTATTGCCCTCCTACTGCCCAGAGACCTCCCTGCTTCTTGCAGCCCTCCACACCAACCCCAGTAGGCTGCTGGAGCTGCTTCTTTCTTTCCTTGGACTCTGATCACCAATAACTTCCTCTTCTTACACTGTCGTGCTGGGGTGAGGCTGCTGAGCTGGGTGGGAAGCAAAGGGTTGTTCTTTCTGTACTTGTTCCAAGGCTTTGCCAGCTATGGGCAGCCAATGGGTACTGTAGGCAGCAGCCAAAGGGAAAAACTGTAGGTGACTCTGGCAAAATTCCTGCGCTGCCTGTATTATCACAAGAACCCCCAGAATCTGTCCGATTTACAACACTCACAGAATGTCACAAGGATTGGCAACACTATCACTAGCTGATATTGGGAGTTGGAGCAATCTATTATGCATTGTGCTTCACTGTGATAGGACAAGTATGCACACAAACCAAGGATTTTAATTAATATACCATAAAAATAATTTACTTTTAATTTGGAAATTAAGTTATGTTCATACAAGACTTCTCAAAGAAAATGTTTTCATCCCTGAAAATATCAATTTCTTATGCATTTACCATACAGAGATGTTACTATCTTCAATTTATTTCTGTGAATGTGGTCATGCAAAGAAATTAGTTCTGTTTAAAATTTAATTTTTTACGCGAAAGCCTATCCATTTTCATTGGGAACACATTTTAAAATATATTGTAGTGACCTAAATCCTTATTACATATTTTCTGGAAATAATACTCCAGTTGGTACTGAAATGAACAGTTAGAAAGTGCAAGATTACCCATTATGGAACTTGATTCTTATATTGTTTTTCAGTGAAAGCTAGATGGGATTGACAACTGAAGTTAAAGTAAAATTTGCTCCCTCTAGTGGACTTCTGCAGTATATGCCCACAGTTGTACTGATGTGTGTTTTGTTTGTGGTTAGATCGAGAAACACATGAGCTTGTTCTCAGACTCTTGTTCTGTGTTTCAGGTAGGGTGACCAGATGTCCCGATTTTTATAGGGACAGTCCTGATATTTGGGGCTTTTTCTTATATAGGCTCCTATTACCCCCTCACCCCCATCCCGATTTTTCACACTTGCTGTCTGGTCACCCTAGTTTCAGCAAATGGATAGTAATTGTTTTTCAATAATATAACCTCATTCTACATTTTTCCTCCCCACTTCTTGATTTGGAAATTTTATGAAAACAGAGTAAAAGTTAATCTACTGTATTCCTGTATGGTTTTTTCCTACTTGAATTCAATAACTGTGACAACAAAGTCAGTTGCTGTGGAAATAATTGACCGCTCATTAGACTTACTTTAGGTGGTGAATAAGCAACAGGAGCAAGTGAGCCATTTACAAAACAAAATCTGGGTATTTTTTGTTTTGGTTTTTTTGTTGTTTTTTTTGCCAGTATTGCAAATAAGAAAAGAGAGGATCCTCAGAAAATTGTACAGGCAGAGATGTTCCTAAAAATAAGGCTGTTTGAAATTATGCAGGTGATAATAGTTGCACATGACTATTCTTTCCAAATAATCTCTATTTTTAAATGTTTAGTGAGAGCCTAACCTATAAATTGCTGGTGGTTGTAAAGGTACAGTATTAAGGTATATTTATAGATTAGTTTTTTTATTATAAATCCTTGAGGAGGTGAAAGGGACAAATTCTCTTTCATGCTTCTGACACTTTCTTCCATGCCATATGCTTGTTTTGATGGTCTTTGGTTAGTCTCGTTATTTAGTAAAACAAAAGGGCTTTGAAATATGTCCTGGCCAGAAAAACCCACACATGCAGAGGATTACCAAGGACTTTTTAAACAGATAAAAGAGAAAGTAGGTCACATTCTGAGCCTACCAACCTTGACAATGTTTCTTTTAAAATAGTTTTATTCAGTAAAGGGTAAACTTCAATATTTCCTCCCCATTCCTTTTGCTATTGTATAGACAATATTTTCCTGGGGGTTGGAATATCTGGCTAGTGTGTCTTGCCCACATGCTCAGAGTCTAGTTGATCGCCATATTTGGGGTCGTGAAGGAATTTTCCCCCTGGTCAGATTGGCAGAGACCATGGGGTTTTTTTTGCCTTCCTCTGCAGCATGGGACACAGGTCAGTTGTCACTTGCAGGTTTAAACTAGTATAAATGGTGGATTGTCTGTAACTTGATGTATTTAAAACATGATTGAGAACTTCAGTAACTCAGCCAGAGGTTAGGGGTCTCTAACAGGAGTGGGTGGGTGAGGTTCTGTGGTCTGCAAAGTACAGGAGGTCAGACTAGATAATGATGCCTGGTCCCTTCTGACCTTGGATTCTATCTTCCTCCTCTCTTATTGATATGGATGACACTTGTAGCCTCCACCGTTGTAGTGACCACACAGATTTATTTTTTCTCATGCAAGCTCCTAACCTTTGTGCCCCTTTGTACACAAAATTCCAATTTCTACCATTTGAGGTTCAAGTGCTTTGAATTCTTATAAATTTTATGTTGACCTTTTGTTCTAAGTTCTAGGGAAGCGGTTTGGGGAAAATATTATAGTACAAGTTTTTTAAAGGAATTTAACATGTGTTTGGCATATTAACAGTTAACATTGAGAAGATGCCTTTAGTTTAATTAAGTGTTGTTCAGGACACCAGTTAACCTATTCTCCACTCTTTGGCTTCTCACACTGCACTCCTTCAGCCAGAGGAGCTCACGCTGCTGCTAATAAAGCTGAGACGGCAGCAAGCTGAACTGAGTAGTATCCGGGAACACACACTAACACAGCTCATGCAACTAAAACTTGAGGCCAACAGCCCAAAGGTCAGCTATGAAGTAATGTGTGCTATGTACCATCCTCACTAGCTCTGAGCCATTCATTAATCAAAGTTTGCGTTATGCCATTAGTGCAAAGTTCTCTGGTTAGCCATGGATGTAGATTAGAATACCATTGTTGCCTTGCATATGTGATGTTCAGCTATTAACCCTTTGAGTTCTTAACACAAAGCTTGAGAGTACATTACTGAATCAAAATAGGGGTAGAGACACTTCCAAATGTATTGTTTCCACAAAACTGGAAGCAAAATTACAGGCTGTGTACATTGATCAGGTGAAATATACTAAAATAAGTAATAATTGCCATAAACATAAATTGTTGCCATTTAAAAAAATGTATTATGGTAGATGATAAAGTGAATTTATTTTGATTATTTGCCTCATCTCAGGTGTGATTTGTTTTCTATAATTTGTTCAAAACTAGGTCATTCATTAAAGCACATAAACTTATCAAAGGGTTTATAGTTGCTATGTAGTCATGTATAGAAAATCCACATGCACGTACTGGTTTTCTGTGTGTATTAAGAAAATTGTTACTAAATTGACGTGAATAAAGAAATGAAATTGCAAGTTAATACCTCATCAAGCAAAGGTATACCTTTTTCTGTATCTTCCTGCTTCCTTGTCTAATTGAATATGCTTGGCTTTTTAAAAATTTACTCTAGTAGTTCATAGTGATATTTGTGGGAAATTTTAATTATCCATTTTCTCTTGAGCTCAAAGCAGTTTATGTAAAAATGTATAGAAATGTAACGTTAGTTTTTAATTAAATTGAAAGATCACTGGCTAGTTTAACTCTTTCCAAACTGACCTTTTCATACATTCTGCACCTTCTGTCCCTTTCCTTTATCTTCTTGACTGCTGCCTGCTAGAATGAGATTCTTTCACATCACCTTCAAAGGAATGCCATATATTTGGATCATCAGGTGGGATTAGCAGCTTTTTCTTTGTTTGTCTCAGTGTGTGTTGCATGCTTTTGCCAAATTTAAAGATGCCAGATATTTAAAGATGTTTTCTATGAACTGGAGTTGAGTATTTTATATATTACCTTTTATTTACAGATCACAAAAAAACTTAAATTTTATTGAAAATTGGATAGAATGAAATAATAAGAATCTGAGCATTAAATTTATACCAGAACGTAGTTTTAATTCTCAGGTTCCAGTTTATTCCTGCAGTTCATTGCTTTCCTGTAACTAACTAAAATTTCCTCAACTTTTTATCATCATAACCAAACTCATCAGAGATTTCCAAACTGACAAGTGTGACAAGCATACTAGTCATAGAGAACAGCTAATTCTGATTATTTCAATGTGTTCAGAACAAAGAAAACTGAGATCAAACTTCAAAATACATTTTAAACAAAAGGCAATTTACCTAATTTTGTTTTTTGCTAAGCTATTTGGTCATGAGTTATGAATGAATAAGACTTTACTCCTTCATAACTCAGATTTTTCTTCTGCTGGATTTCAGAGTGAGAGCATAATAATTTGACATCAAAATCTGTTGGTAAAGAAACAATTGGGATGTCATATTCAGCTTTTTGTCTTCAAGCCAGGATCAAATGAAATTTGCAAATGGGTTTTGCAAGAGAGCTTTTTAAACGGAATGGTGAGACCTTTGACAGAAATAGAGAAAATCATAACAAGTACTTGAAAGGAAATATAGGCAAATTGATGTTTAACTATCGTTTTCTTACATGAAAATCTCAAAACTGATTTTCAAACACTGCATGCTGAATTTTACATCTTAAACATTACACTTAATGCAAACAATTTCCTGATTGTTTTTGCACCTGGACATCCTATGCATTGCTGCAGTAGTCAGGACTTCATTGAATTGTGTGTTTAAAAAATATATATATATATATATAAAAACAACCTTTCTGGCTTGATTTTTCTATCACCTTGCACTTTGGGTGGTCACTTATAAATGCAAATTGAGTGCAAGGTTGCGTTCAAGATGAAATGCTACCATTCTGATTTGGTTGTGATTTACATTCATCTTGCAATCAGTTTGCATTGATGTATGTTGGTAAATGACTAACCAAGGTGTAAGGCGGTGGACAATCAGAAACTCTGTTAGTTGTGTTAGACCAAAGTATTTCATCCAGCTCAAACATTTCCAGCTTTGATTTTGTTATTGCTTATACAAGATGTTAAACTACTACTTATGTTCCATTTTTTAATATTATTGGTTGGTTACAGGGTTTGTTCAGTGATCTGTCAGTGTGATATTCTGATTTAAATAAAGGAAATGGCATTTATTGTTTGAGAGGTAGTAAAGCAGTTCTTTACTTGCATAATACATCAGGTAAAAACTGATTATTAGAATTCCAGAACAAATGTAATTATATCTTATAAAGTTGAGGATTGCAGAAATACGTACTTCTGCATTTGTTGAGTTTCTTATAAATTCATTTAATGCTGGCATTTAAAAATATAAACCAAGTCTCTGCAGTAGATCAAGGAAATGGCTAAACTTCACATACAGTAAAAAAGAGGCAGTTAGTATAAAATGAGATTCCCAGTCATAAAATCATAGGGCATAAGGTTGGAATAAATGTTCTGGGTCATCTGCGCCATTCTTCTCCCCTCTCCCTTTGCACTAGAACAGGATTGTCCCATATACTATATAAATTCCGTAAGAGATTGTAATCTTCTTGAACACCTCTGGAGCTGGTGTTTCAGCTACTTCCCTTAGCAAATTAGTCCATTATCAAATTGACCTTATTTTTAGGAGAAAAAAATCCTACTGCATAGCCTAAATTTTTCCTAGTCTAATTTCAGGCCAATGCTCCTTCTTTACAGCATCTTTAATCACCTTGAATAATCCTTTGTCCTCTTTGGATTGCTTCATTTCAACTTGATATATAAATTATACATTTCCTTTTTATGACTAGTCTGTAATTTCTGTATATAAAATTCCCTAAACCTCTCTCCATGGTGCGTGTAGCTGCACTCCAATCCTTTTATCTTGGTCACCCACCTTTTGGATTGTGAGGAACTCAGAACAGTACACATTGCCTACTGCCTCCTAACCAAGGCTGCATTGCACTCCACTCTTCTCAGTACTACATGCAAAACCTTATGTATAAAGTAACCTCTAGTGATTGCTGAGCTCTCTCAATGAAATATTGCCTGTGATTAAGATTAGTTTCACAAAGCCCAAGAAATCATAGGAACTTTTTGTTTTACTAGAGGGCAGTTCTTTATACTGCTGTTTTCCTTGGAGATGCTTATGATTTGTTACATTTTGGTTTTGGATTTTTGTTTTCTGTAGTTTTAGATACATAAGGACAGTGCAGCACAAAATTGTCTCTAGACAATAGGTTTCCTTGAAATCTCATGGCCACCAGGAGTTTAGATCACCAATCAAACACCACCTCTTTAAGAGGGGTTGAACCACTCTTGTGGCTGTGGTATTCAGGAAACATAAGAGGTGCCAGATGTGTTTGCTGTCTTTTTCGCAAGTGCCCACTTGGGACACCAACAGTGATCATAGGCATAGACTATTTGCTTGCCCAGTGCATGCTCTTTTACGAGGGCAGTAGTATAAATGTAATCATGGCATTATATGAATCCAAAGGATTAGTTATCTAAGGCCTGGTCTACACTAACCCCCCAAGTCGAAGTAAGGTACGCAACTTCAGCTACGTGAATAACGTAGCTGAAGTCGACATACCTTACTTCGAACTTACCGCGGTTCAGACGCGGTCCACACGGGGCAGGCAGGCTCCCCCGTCGACTCCGCGGTACTCCTCTCGTTGAGATGGAGTACCGCAGTCGACGGCGAGCACTTCCTGGTTCGATTTATCGCGTCCAGACCAGACGCGATAAATCGAACCCGGAAGTTCGATCCCCAGCCGCCGAACTAGCGGCTAAGTATAGACCAGCCCTAAGTGTACTACTAAATCCATTTCCAATGGCCTCTTTATTGCCCTTTTTCCTGACCATGCTCACATCAAGAAGTAGTAATAACCACAAATGGAAACATCAAAATTTCAAATAAAGACTGTTTCCACAAGACTTAAATGTTTTATTTCACCCATAAATGGATGTTTTATTAGAACCTGCACCCATTATCAGAGGGCAATTCCGTAAACAGGTCTTAGAACTTAATTGTAATTTTGTTACTGATGATGAAAATCTCCAGTAATAACCAGCTATACTTTTCAGTGAGATTGAGTTATGTATTTTAGAGTTTGGTGCTGGGTCTGATCACCAGAGTATATGAGTACCTCCCAGATTAATTAGATTGGCATAGTGACGTACCTGTTGGACTGCATGAAGTCTTCTGTCTTCTTCCTTCTCTGATAGTAGGAATTTCTGCTTGAGGTAGAGATTTTTCTGGAGCAGGAGACGATATTTCACCTCTAGTCAGCCCTGGATCAAGGAATCTGATAAGAAAGAGAGTATCTTTTATTCAATATGCATCTGTTCTTTTATAGTTTTCAGTACTGAAGCTTTTTACGGTATACATTTTTTTAAAACCTCAGGAAAAGTCAGAAATTGAATAATAGAAGAAAACTTCCTACAGGAAGAGTCTCTGCTCTCTAGCTGATCATAGTTGTAATGCAATCAGCATAGTGGATGCTGTGAAGTTTCATTTGTGCAGAAAGATGTCAGTCACAGGGAAGAATACCTGATTAACTTACAAATGTGTGGGGCAATGGAGAGGAAAGAGGGAAAGAGAAGGGAAATGAACATCTTTTTGGTAAAACTCCACTGAGAGTTTTCTTGGATGTTCAGCAGATTTTAGATTGGCTTATAATGTTGCTCTGTATTCTTTGGTGTTATGGCATCTGAGTATAATATACTCACAAATTTTAAATGCTAACTATTAAATGGATTCAGCTGCTTTTATGTATGTCTTGTTTAGGGAGAAATGTTGTTTCTCACTCATATACCACACTGAGTATAAAAAAGCATAGCAAAGACAGACATCAGTTTTGGGGAAGGCTTAGTGATCTACAGGAAACAGCAGGCATATCTAAGATGGGTTTCTTGAATTCTATTCAGAGTTCTGCTACTGACTTGCTTTGTGGCATCAGGCATTTCCTTAAACCATTTTGTACTTTAGCTGGCTTATGTGTAATACTTTTGTGACCGGGGTCCCGGGGAAAGGGGTCATGCTGAGGTTGCTCAATTAGGGCAAATTGCAAAGACTGGGGCAGACAGTCCCCAGAACTGGTGGTTATTCCAACACTTAGATTCACCCAGCCAGCACCAAAACAGCTTTTACAATACTTTACTGGTTACACAGAAGCCAAAACACAATTCCCTTAAAGCAACCCAGCCTTGGGCACCCTTCTAGACAGCAAAGTCAAATATGATGGGGATTACTGAAAATCTTGTTCATCATATAAAAAGTTGTATCAATCCTAAAGGATCGGACACATTACCTCCCAAGTTAATGAATACTTTAGATAGTACCCAAATATACACTTACATTTTAGTTTAGTTAATAAGAATTGGCTGTATTAAAGAAAAGAGAATGTATTGGTTAAAGGATCAGTATACATACAGACATGAATACAGTTCTGAGATCAGTTTCATAGTAGAGATGGTGAGCTTTGGAGTTGCATAGAGTTCTTAGAATTAGTCCATAGGTTTAGTCCAATGTCCAATACCAGGGTGATCCAAATGAATTTGGAGACCTCAATATTGAAGCTCAGTGCTTCCCCTGATAAAACATGAGCAGATTTGAGATGAAAGGATCAGGTCCCAAGAGTCCTTTATACAGTTACTGGGCAGCATGCAGTCCTTGGGTGAACAATGGGCTTTTGAAGTAACCTTTTGTTTCCTAACCATCACCAGTAATTAACTATATGGATTAACATAAGGTAATTATCCATTAAGCAGTTTATAGACAGTTTACCACAAACTTTAAAGAGACACATAGACAATGACATTATTTCACCCAAGTTCCATCTAAACGTTATTTAGGATACAGCCCTAGACAGGAACCTTTTGGTTACATTGTCAACCTCTAACAAGACAGGGGGTAAACATAGACTACTACAATGACTATCTTCTTCCAATTCTTTAACAATACAAGTTTACATTTTAAAGCTGTAGCCTATCTAACATGGAATGGCCCTAATTATATTTACATATTTTTCTAACATGTCTCTAAAGGTTGAATCTGGGTCAATTAGCCTGCAAGTTACTGTACTTAACCTTTTTTGGCCATGTGTCACAATTTTAATTTAAGTTTGTAAAAAGAACTTTGTATCTTCAGATAAGACAACTATATAAATGCACTATTACTGTGTTATGGTGCAGCTGTTTGTAAAATTTTGTTTTCCTAGCACTCATAATATGATTTGGATCTGTTTTTATGTTAGTATTGTGACTAAGTTGCTGTCTTATTCAGTTTAGGTTCCATTTTGCTCTACCACTTCTGTTCAGATAATTGTACTGCATATCTGTGGGTTAGTATTTATAAAAAATGGTAGAGTGAAATTGAATAAATTGAATATATATTGTGTCACCTCTTGACAAATATTGAACATTTAACGGTCTGTCATAGGGATATAAAAATAGTTTGGTTTCTGCTGGAATGGCCTTTTGGTCAGCACTTTGCAATGTTTTATACAGAGGATTGATTCCCAATTGTTGACCCTCCACGGTATTTAGGGACTGGGATTGCTGTTGAGCAGTGACCTTTCCAGTCAAAATTATGAAGTGCTGTTAACCTCCTCTAGTAAAAATGGAGGAGGAGGTCCCCCAAGATACAGTAAAAGTTGTTATCTGTCACTTTACCATCTGGAAAGCTCTAGAAATGGGCATTTTAGGATGCCAGATCCGGGCAGCACTCACCTTGGGCAGCTCCCCGCAAGCGGCGACATGTCCCTGCTGCTCCTAGGCAGAGGAATGGCCATGGGGGCACCATGCACTGCCCCCACCGTTTCCCGAACACTAGCTCTGCAGCTTCCATTGGCTGAGGACCGTGGCCAATGGGAGCTGCGGGGAAGTGCCTGAGGATGGAGGTAGCGTGCAGAGCCGCCTGGCCACGCCTTCGCTAAGGAGCAGCAGGGACATGTCGCTGCTTGCAGGGAGCTGCTCAAGATGAGCACCGCTCAGATCCAGCATCCCGAAATCCCTCCTGTGCTCCAACCCCCTACCCAAGACCCCCCCAGCACCCAAGCTCCCTCCCAGAGCCTGTGCCCCACACCCCCTCTTACACCCTAACTCCCAGTCCTGAGCCCCCTCCCTCACCCAAACTCACTCCCTCTTAGTTAACCGGAATTTTTTACTTACCCGCACCCCCCAGTCCCCGAATATGCTGGATAAAAAAGCTTTTACTGTAGTATTAAAATTAGAGCTGCCTGGAAGATGACAACTCAGTTTCATAATACGTTTCAAATTTTCAGGATTTGTTTTTGTTCTGTTAGAACAAAACCAAAACCTTTCAAATGTCTTCACAAAACAGGATTGTGTTAAAACATTTGTTTTTGGATTAAAAGATCAGTCTCTCAATTCAGGTCCGTCTCTTGCTCGCTCACTCGCTCGCTCTGGTCAGAGGTTCCAAAGAGCCCTGGACCTTAGAAAACTTGGTAGTTATTGATAAGTCTCGGTGAAATGGTTCAGCTTTGAAACAGCCTATTTGGTTGACAGTGTTTTGAGACTCTTTAGTTAAAATTATTTTGTTCAAGTTGTCAGCAATTTGTTATATAGTGGGTTTAAATTAGTTCTGTCACACTTTAGTTGTTTCCAAAAGAGCTCTTGATTGGTGTACAGCATTATTAGTTTTGTTTAGCATTAACATGGACCGGGGCTGCCATAAGAGGGGAGACCCTTGTACATCATGAAAGATGTAATTCAGATACTTCGTATTCCCACTCTCTTCCATAGGCTCAGCTCCCTGCTTAGATGACAACTCCAAAAAGGCACTTCCTAATAGAAATGTTTGTTTTCAAATTTAGCCAAAAAAATTAAATTTGTCTGTGGAAAATTTATACAAAAATTAAATGTTTTCTATAAAAGAGGGGAAATGTTTTTTGACTGGCTCTGGTTTTTAGTAGTTTCCTATTTACTGCATATTATGGGGAACCTCACTGTTGTAGATACAGTATTTTCCTTCAACACAGGCCAGTTTAAGATTTGGTCACGTGACTCAAAAATTGCCCTCTTAGTGTATGCTAAGAATGCTACTGATCTGCTGACAGGTAGTTATCAGCTGAGATGAACTTGTGTAAAGAAGCTAGAGCAGCAAGTAACTCTCGTTGCAAAGTAGCACAAAAACAGAGCCTTTGAGACTTTTAAACTTAGTGAACACTTAAGTATTTCATATGTGACTATTACCTTATTCTGCTTCTCTTTAGGTTTGTCAACAATATACTATAGGAATAGGGGAAAGAAATCTTGCTAGAAAAATGGTACTGAAATAAATATTTTCAAATGTTCCCTGTGGCGTAAGGATCTTTACCTAGTGGGATTGGAGTAAAAATGGACAAATGTAAATAAGTGAGGAAAATTTCACTTTAATCCAAGATGGGCCTGCTTTTGCCTCTCAAACTCTACTGTTGTCTATAATAGGGATGTCTTAATTTACAGGATAATATAACTGTCTCATTAGAGCACAGTATGAAATAAATTCCTCACATATACTGGAACCTCAGTATTTCCCACTAATACCTGGTAACCCATTGTGAATTAATGAATGTTGCAGATGAGTGAATAAATAAATGTACAATAAAGCAAAGAATGTATCACAATATACTTCATTTAGTAATTGTATCTTACTTTATTTGTAATTCAAATTTGATTCTTCATAGTATACTAGAAGTATTTGCTTTTTAAATGTAATGATTATAACTTTACTGAGAATGGGAGGGAAAACAGTTGTTTTTGTACAAATTATGGGGTCCTTAGCCAGTGCAAATTACTAAGGTACCACTGATAAAGAAGGTTGGGACCCTCCCCTAAAACCACACACAGATTGGAGTTTTCAGTTTATGGGGAAATTGTTGTCACTTTGGTTGGAAAAAGTGCCTTTCAGTGGGCAGCAGCTTGTTGTCTGTCACATCAAATTGGTGAGACAATAGTTAGTCCGTATAAAAATCCACTGTGTATACAGTTACATGGTGAGAGAGATCACACACATACGTCCTCTATAGCTGGATGTAAAATTGATGTAGCGCAAGAACTGGTTTAAATTTTTATTCAAAGGGTCTTTCTACAAAAAATGGCATATCAAACGACATTTCTAAAGTAAATATCCATTTTTGATATTTTTTTCAATTTTTGTTGGGAAAACAGAATTTTTCACCCCTAAGACTGAAAATTACGGTTTTTGGTTTTTCAACAAAGTCTAAAAACTTCTGAAGAAAATTTTTGACAAACTTTTTTACTTTATATTGATTTTTGACAGGAACAAAAATATTTCTTAACCAGCTCTACCTAACACAATATTCAAAAATCTTATAAGATTGTAAGAATTCTCACCAGCATGCTGGCATAAGACAGCCATTTGCTCTATACATTGCTTGGATTTTTTTGAATGCCTAATTCTATAATTTTTTTTCATAAATGATCACAGAATCTGTTTTGAACAATTGCACTTGTGGCAGTAAATATAAATGATTTTTTCTGCAAATATGGCAGCACATATGTCTAATCTAGCTTGAAATGTGCAACAGATGGTTTCATAGCCATATATGGGTAAATGCAATAACTAATATAATTGACTACTTTTGTATATAAAAAAAGTGCTGCATAAAAATTGCTGCATTGTTGATTGTGAAGTACTAGTGTAGATCATTGTAAACTTGATCTTAGTATTCAGTTCCAGAAGGGCTCAAATAACTCGTAACATACTGAAGATGCAATCTACATTTTAATGTCTGTGGGACTATTTTATGAGATGGTTCTCGGAAAAGAATTTGGATGTTTCTTACTGCATATTTAAATTACTGTATTTGTGTTTTAAATCACTTCAAATCTAGCTGGCTTATTTCTAAGTAATATCGTGGTTTGGCTACTCAGTATTTTATCCAGTCGTTCCTGATGTTTTACCTATTGTAACTTGAGTTTATTGGTGAAACATTTGAAGTAATTAGACTTACTAGTAACATAAACCACAGTGGAAATGATGCAGCTTTTATGAAATATGAATATAGTAACACATTCTTTTGTATATGGGAAACATGAGTTTGATATTTATCACTTATGTTTTTCAAATATTTACTTTTTCTAAATGATGGAATCTTTAAAGGAATTGGTTAAAATTTAAACTGCTGCATTATTAGAAAAAATATTGAAGTAGAGGCTATATTTACAGTGTCGTCTTTCAAATCTAGCTATGGTGTAAACTGATGTTTGCTGTATGCTCCTCCTGATTTGAAATAGATGAAAGAGAATGAACCTTTAATCACCATGGTTCACACTATGATTGAGAACTCGGCGCTAAGACCACAACTGTACCAGCAAGTAAGGTCTTGGATAGTGAATGAAATTGCTTTATCATCTGCGAAAATTTTCCTCAGTGACAGTTTTTGGTTGTTCTTCAGATTTACTCATAACATCAGTGTTTCTCTTATTTGTTTTGAAAAACCACATCACTCATGCTTTATAAAATGCTGCGATATTATTAGCATGGCTTTTGCTGAACGCTTTTGTTGTTGAGTATATTAAGTGTACCCTTTTGGATAACTTTTTCTGTCTAGAATGTTTGATCATTTGGTATCATATGCAGGTGTCCAGTAAACTCATAAAATTTCCAACAAGCTTCCAACATTTGTCTTAACGTGGTCCTATGCACAATTAGCTTTCACAGGTGCTTCTTTTTGTTCAACACAAAAGCATGCCATTGGTGTTTACCTGGTCATATCTGGCAACTTTCTTCATTTTAGGAGATGGATTTCTAGATCTTTTGTTGTTGTTGTTGTTGTTGTTGTTGTTGTTGTTTGCACCTAGTTAGTTCTTAGCCTTGGAGAAAAATGGATCAAAATAACTTAGATCTGGAGATTGTAGATCCAAGGGGCAATGTTTTATTAATAAAGTCATAGCAAACCTACCAGAGTACACATTTCTAGACTATATAGTCATGGCTGCAACTCTGCTGAGACATTAAGAGGGGGAAAATGTGCTGAATGGAAATATGTCTTTGGGTTGAGACCTGCATTAACTTACAAGCATGGCCAATACAAATCTGTAAGCGCAGTAGTTCCTTAGACACATGAGTTTTGCTGCACAAAATACTGTATTTCAAACATCAAAGTTTTAAAGAAGCCTAAGCATTCTTATTTAAGTGATTGCTGTATTTTGCAGCTAATTGAGCTATGAAAATCTCTGGCTGCCAAACAGAATAAATATTCGACCTGTTCTCTTCAAATTCAGGGATTACTCCAAAAGGGGAAGAGTGGTAAACAAAGTTTCATGGCTAGAAGGGAGGGATAGTTCAGGTGTTTGAGCATTAGCCTGCTAAACCCAGGGTTGTGAGTTCAATCCTTGAGGGGGCTATTTAGGGATCGGGGACAAAAATCTGTCTGGGAATTGGTCCTGCTTTGAGCATGGGGTTGGACTAGATGACCTCCTGAGGTCCCTTCCAACCCTGATATTCTATGATTCTATGAAGGGAGTAAGACAAATTCTGCTTTGAAAAACGCTCATTGATGGTGATGAAATTTTTTGCTATGCCACTGTAATACGGCTCCCATGCAATTTTTGACCTTTATATTACTATATCACAGTGTAGAATATTTCTAAATGTTTAGAGAAACAGCCAGGTATCTTGAGATAAAGGAGAAGTGCTTTGAATCTCTAGTTTCTTCTTGGACTGAAACAGTGGCTTGCATTAACAGATTTTCCTGGAACCAATCTCCCACTCTTGTGTGCCAAAAGACAAGCTGTTTTCACACACAACTTTGAAGGGTTAGGGGTGCAATGGGAGAGCGAAGGTTCCTCCAGACCCAAACTAAATAAGATTTTTATATGTTTAAAAGCTGTCCCACTCACTGCTGAAATTTTTTGAAAAATGCCATCAATTTTTAGAATTTTTTTAGCTGGTTAAAATAATCCATGTACGTATTAAAGCCTGTTTTATGGTAGAGATAACTTCATTTTATATTTGACACTGAAATAGCACCTTCTTGACAACCTTGTCAGAGACCATGAATCTGAAGGGTCATGAAGACTGAATTACCCTCTCTCCCCTAGAGAGATGGTCCCTCTAGAATGGTGTTTTGAGATGCATTGGCAAGATAGTGCAGGGGAAAGTGTGTACTGCATAAATTAAGGGACTGTCATTTTTAGTCAGTCATTGTTCTTTCACAGCTCTAAATTTCTTTAAAAAAAAAAAGAAAAAAAAGCTGGAGCCCAAATATAGCTATTCATAGTAATTATTGGGTTAAAAAGAAATTTAGGTCACCAAAAATAAAAGATCACCCATTCTTCCAGACCGCCTTGAACAAATTTTCTTCTACATTCTTATCAGATGCCCTCTCTTAGCTACTTTCATTTACAACTGTGAATTTATTCCTAGGAAATATCAAAGTGACTATTTGTTGTGGGTAACAGCTGAGATTACTCAATTTAGATAGTTGTTCCTGGGTCCTGATTTGAAACCATAACGAGGTATGTAGTAATGTAAACAACATAAAGATCCTGTTGTGACAGACCCAGACCAGTGGGGTACAGGAGTCTGGTAGAGGGCAAATATACTGGTCACTGGATGAGTAGTTTTCTGTTCCCTGAGTGACCAGAGCAGGGGCTGCACTAGAGTAATCAGGAACCTGCTAGAACCAGTTAAGGCAGGCAGGCTAATTAGGTAGGACACCTGGAGCCAATTAAGAAGAAGCTGCTAGAATCAATTAAGGCAGGCTAATCAGGGCACCTGGGTTTTAAAAGGAGCTCACTTCAGTTTGTGGTGCGAGTGTGAGGAGCTGGGAGCAAGAGGCGCAAGGAGCTGAGAGGGTGTGCTGCTGGAGGACTGAGGAGCACAAGCGTTATCAGACACCAGGAGGAGGGTCCTGTGGTGAGAATAAGGAAGGTGTTTGGAGGAGGCCATGGGGAAGTAGCCCAGGGACTTGTAGCTGTCATGCAGCTGTTACAGGAGGCACTATAGACAGCTGCAGTCCACAGGGCCCTGGGCTAGAACCCGGAGTAGAGGGCGGGCCCGGGTTCCCCCCAAACCTCCCAATTGACCTGGACTGTGGGTTCTTCCAGAGGGGAAGGTCTCTGGGCTGTTCCCCAACCCACATGGTGAATCGCTGAGGCAAGAAAATCCGCCAATAAGCGCAGGACCCACCAAGATAGAGGAGGAACTTTGTCACACTGTATTTTCAGTATTTACAAGTCAAACATTTTATTGTGAGATCTGGATATGGGGCAACTCAATCTGTACTTTCAACGACATTTGAGGAGTTGAGCCTGGAACAAAAGATTTAATTTCCAAGATATATACAGTTTTTTTTAATGAAAAAATGTTAAGAAAACAACCCAAATGAAAAGATGGGAGAGGGATTTAGGCAAATAAATTGATCTGGCTGATATGGGAAAGGCAATATAAACCCTCAATTTGTGTAGCTCATAAAGAAATTCCTGGTAAGATCCATCATATTTTTGGAACTAGGAAGGCACTTTGTTTGAAGGATTACAGGGAAAGGGAAACATACTTGCACATGTGGTGGTTCTGTCCAGGAATTAGGGCTTGTCAACACATGGACATCAGGAAAATTAATCCAAATTAACTAAAGGTGTGAATTTTCAGTGGATTAGTTTTAAGCCACATTAAGCCACTGTGGGAATACCCATTCAGAATTTAAAGTTTAGCTTGGATCATTTCCAAAGTGAATTAAACTAAACCAAATTAAGGCCACTTTAATTCTGAATAAGTGTTCACACACAGATTTAATACAGTAAAATTCATCCACTGAAATTAACTTTTTATTCATATTGAAGAAATGTAGTAATAACCAGCTACCTATCCTCTTTGGCTAGCTGTACTGGACACATTCAGGTACAATTAGATGAGCCTGAACCAGTACCTAACAGTACGAACAGTAAATTGGAGAAAACTTAAATTGTCCCTTTGTCTAGAGATGTTGCAATCTGTCCTTTCCTCAGTGTTAAGTGAAGTATATTAATGTTATATGAAGGGGATTCTATTGGTGCAAATTCACGAATACACCTAAACTAAGGCTTAAAATTTGAGACAACTTCCTGTACTGTGTTGACTTTTCATATTTTAAAGATCACACAGGATTTTAACGTGAATGAGTTAGAATATTGTGTGTATAAAGCACAATGACACTGAAAAGACAAGATTAAAATCTGGTTAGAACAAGATGACATGCATGCCTAATGTCAGCATGTTTATGCCCAAGAAACTGGAAAACCATTTAAGAACAGATCGCTGCCCCATACTTCAATCTAGGACAGCAAGATGTTGAGTTGTCATACACTGTTCACCAGTTGCACAAATTAAAGCTGTTGATGGGCTATTAGCTTATGATCCTGACGTTTAGAAATATTTTCTAAGCTTTGTTTCTGAATTTGTTCAACATTCTTATTTGGCCTACATCCTCTTTTCCTGCATTTCTTGTCCCTATTTGAAATTCTACATGTTGCATTATGTGAAATGCAATTTTCACATCTGATACATAATACATTCAAACCACAGTATATTCTTACTACTAAAGACGTACTCTTTCAGCTACATTACATGAAAGTATCACTGAGTGTCAAATAGGTCCATGTATTCATACTAGTGGGTGAAAAGGGCCTTTTAAAAAATGCTACTAGAATCTTAAAGAATATCTCACCCTCCACACAAAAACCCCAACTTTTTGTTTAATTTCCTCACTAGAACAATCTCCCAAAAGATGTTAAACATGCCATCAGTTGTGAAATTCCATGCCACAAGACTTTATTGAGGCAACAAGCTTAGCGTAATTTTAAAAAGTTTTAGAAATGTGTATTAATATCTGCACTTACACTGGCTAAAATAAAAACACAAGGATACAAGCCCTCATGCTTCAGGAAATAAACCCTCCAATAGTTGTCTTAGGTTAGGAAAAAACTTCCCCTGTGAACATCTTACATAATGTCCATTTTCATGGTTTTATACCTTGCTGTGATTCAGCAGATATTGCCCGTTGTCTAAGATGCGATACTGGACTAGATGGACTATGTTTCTGTAACTTTTGAAATCTCTACTTGCTAAATTCTTCTTTGTAGATATACGTATTGTGCACAAGACTTAATTCACAGATAGGTAGAGAGATATTTTCAGCATTACATAATGGACATTACACATTTCTCATTGAATGCAATGGCAGTTGTGTAACACCATTGTAACCGCACAGAGAAATATTTGCCCCAACTATACATGTAGCTTACACTAACAGCAAGCAATAAATAATACTTCAGGAGTATTTAAAATGCTATTAATTCCTCTGCACTCATACAGTGTGATTTCACTATATATT